TATAACCACGTACATATATAATAGCTACAGTGGCTACCATTGAGAGCCATCATGCGGCCATATGAGACTAACTCGATCTATATCTGAACAGTTTTTCTCGCTACACAATGTTGCTGGAATGAATTTTTAGTTAATGCTCATATATTGCTCAAAATACGTTTTGATCGTGATCTGCTTGCATCACAGATGTAATTGTGACGTAGTCATTGTCAATCTAAATATATATTTAAAGTCTTCTGTGATAACGTACATACATCCAACAATCAATTATAATTTAGAGCTTTACTGTATATCCTTGGATCTATTCAATGATGAGTTTGATGATATGGTGGTTATTGTGGCTGTTATTTGGTCAAAGATTCACAATGAAAATGGGTTGGAATGAAGAGCTTGAGTTTTGTGAACAAGAATGGAAGAAATTTGTGGCGGACAAAATTGAAATCGATTCGAAATGCGACAATGCTCGTACACGTTGCTGTGTTGAGGAGAAGAAATATCTTCTGGAGCGATTTAAAATGTTTAGTGAAATATGTCCACTAGAAGGTAAAGTAAACAACAGTTTAGTTTAGAGTAAGTACAGAACATCAACTGGCCATGTACTTGGCAAACAATCACAACACTTATATTACTGAGGTACTGTTTAATTTAAATAACGGTAATTTAAAACCGTATTCTTAGAAATGGCATTAAAGTAGGGTACCTAAAGAAACAGTTTGAACCCGTAAGGTACCTGCTAAAGTACTCAACTGATTTGGATACACTAGCTTCACAGCATAGACGCAGCATAATCTCTCGTTCATTATTCCTCTGTCTAGTTACAAAAGCCAAGTAATATGACAGTAGAGTCAAAAATAGTAATATATGCAGTTATATGATAAAGTCTGTATAGTTATTGTCTATTTGGGTTTAAGGAAGACTTTCGATTCAATGTGAATAGTTTGTAACATTTTGTGGCCAAATCAGTGTCACTTTCTACTTGTTCTTTTTGTCTGGAGAACCAGTTAAAGATAACTTAATTTTTTTTAGGGACATGTAGATGCAGCCCGGTTATTTTGAACTATACATACGTCGATTATCGTTTTTATCGTAATTTTCCATTCGAAAAATTGAAAGAACCAGAAAACTTCACATGTTCACATAAGTACATAAATGAAATAATAAAAAAAGAGACTGGTGAACCTAGTTACCTTCATATCGGACAAATCAAAGTCCCTTATAAGTATATTCTATACGGTGGAAAAAATCACACCTGTTATGTTGTCATCAACGTGAACGAAAAAAGACAAGGTACATACAAGGCCAGTTGATTTTAGTTTCTCCCTTGTCAGTTTGATTTATTGTGCATTATTGGGATTATAGTGCTTCATATTCAACTTTGGTCAAATCCATACGACACTTTGACCTATATTTAATTCATCATATACATAAACTCTTATGTGAAATTTCTTTGCAATTGCAAAAGTATTAGAATACACTCCCGGAACAGCCGAACATGTTTAATTCGTAATGCATTTATTATAATGTAAACCTGTAAAAGAGTAAAAGCTCAATTCAAGAGCGTGTCTTGGTTATTTTTGCGTTTATTGATTTTATTCAGTAACGATTACGTTGGAAGATTTTGATTGTTTGATAAGGGGTGTGAGGATTAGGGTTAAGATATTCATATATTGATCTGTGCTAGTTGAGCTTTATTATTATAATACAACGGTGATACAATCTCTATTGTGATTGTCTAAAAGCCTTCAAATAATTGTCAATACACTATCACCTTGAAAAACATTGAAAATTACCTGTAGGTGACGAATTTTCTTTATGAGACAACTGTATATACATGAAATATTTTGGTTAAATCTTCATCAAGACTTTCAAGTGTTTTACTCTGCTCAAATTGTCGAGAATAAAGACAAAAAAAAACCCGAAATGTTAAACTGTCTGTCCAGAGATTTTTCATCGCGTATTTACAGGAAATAGACGAAAGCGAACCGCAAAAATTTTTTAATCAGACTGCAGTCAGCGCTATCCCACTCAGCTTTGGTTTGGTAGATATCCAATTGTCCTTGGTCTGAATATTGTTTAATATCATGCTCAACTTAATCCAAAATTTGTTAAATATTTTTCACGGGAGAATGTTTACATATCACTTCAATTGAAATAAACTTCCTTTTACATTAACCCTCTGTATAATATCCCTGTACATATTTGTATGCATCTCTCCTCTGCATGTATAAACCTGTACAAACCCGTAAAAAAGCCTCACGATTTTGTGTAAGCCCTGGGCATGATATTTATTTAAAGTGTTTGGAATTTTAAATTGTGCAGTTCTGGTATTCTTATTATCAAGAGCACTAATTCACAGCACAACTTAAATGAACTCCACCAGAAAAGAGTGTACAACTTACAGAGTTCACAATTCAGTTTTACATTGAATTATATAATCTTTGTCTTCAAGTTTGTATAATACTAATCTCAGTCATCAACTTTTTCTGGGCACAAATTTGTATAAGTGTTTAGATAAACTTCCTTTTCATCAAAAACGAAAGTCATGGGAGTTTATACAGTTGAAAAATCAGGTTCAGCCAACAATCTTAAAATATTTCAAAAGAAACAGATTCCATAGTTGGCCCGATAAATCACTAAAATTGCGTAAACAAACCATAACTCTCCCTTTTCCATCGTAACAGACCATGCGCCGTGAAATTTTTGTTAATTGATTTTTTACATTTTTTAACTTGTTTGTAAATTTTTCAGTCTCCATGCCGTTGAACTAAAATATATGGAACGCTACATCAAGCAAATAATTGAAGCCATATCTTACGCTACACACGCGAGATTTTACCCCGACACCCGTGTTTAGTGTTTCGAGATTCTCTCGCGGAGTAATGATTGATTGACTACACACTCGTGTCTGGGGTAAAATCAAGGCTTAAAATTTATTAGGGTTTTGTATTACAGGTAGCGTTCCATGTATTTTAGTACAATGCTGCATGCTTAATGCCTTAAATTGTTTCATACGCCATTATTCTTAAAATGACCCTAAACAGCAATTGGCTTATTTAATTCTTTAGGAAAGTTGAGTTTCAAGATGGCTTTTTTTTGGAGTGTTGTTTCCTATATTGATAGAATTCAGTATACTAAATTATTCATTATTTTTGATAAATTCCTATTATTTTTATTTGAATATTTTGTAGAGTGTGGTATTTTCAATCATTTTTATCATGTATGATTGTCCTTTTTCAGATATAAATGGATTTTTCATCAAACATGCTCAGTCAGGAAAGTGTGTTAATGAATACTTAGGACGTTCATTTGAGCTTTCATGGAATTGTTTGGACACGGGGTCTAATTTTAAATTTTTACAATCTGGCTCAATCATGAACCTGAATACAAAAAAATGTCCTGGGAGACGAGGCAACGGAATTCGTTTGATGTTACCTAATGGAAATTTTAATGGAGGATGCGGAGCCATCAATGCCATAACCCAAACTTTTTGGGGTGGTCTATTCTTTTCACGCTATAATAAATGTATAGTAGTTCGAGAAGTTCATTCCGACGTGAGACTGGCCAATTGTAAAAATGAAGAAAATCAGCGATTCAATTTCGGCAAGTGAGAATATTCATCCAGTTAGCGTATATATAATTAAACTCTAATTAAAAGCCACTGCAACGCAGCAGATATAGGAATGGCGCCAGTTAAGTCACTGCTATCACAAACTTCATTTTTATAAAATCAACTTTTACTTTACAGGAATTAACAAATAAGCTTGTATAGATTGGAATTTACTTATTTTTTGTGTGTCTTCTATAGGATCAGTGACATGTGCTGGACAAAATATAACAAACGTCAGATGTCCTAATGATCAATATATGGGATAAAATTTGCAGAATATCGTGGATTGCGAAAAGGAAGCATTTGTGGCTCCAGTTATGACCACAATTGTAGTGTCGATGTGACATGTGACCTTAAAACTTACTGTGATGGTGAAAGAAAATGTAGTATAACTGTTGATGACAATCACTTTCCTTCAAAATTTGTCCTGGTTTGGAGAAATATCTTTACTTTGAATATCAATGTAACTACACAAGTATGCCATACAGAAAAATTTGCAATCGTAAGTATAATATAGGCACATTATATTTTGCTTATGATATAAGTGCTTTGGGACAAGTTTTGACCTTAATGCACAATGTTACGGTGTTTATTTTTATACTATGTACGCTATCAATGTACGCTAGTGTCTTTATATATTGTGACATTTAAATTTGTGTTCCCAAATATTTGTTAAGTTTAAAGGTTTGAGCAAGTTTGTCTTTTTAGTTTGTTAAAGCAAATATTGTTCATAGAAACATCATTTATTGCAGTCAATTTGATTTATCAAATCTATTTTTTTTTTTTTTTAAATCTTTTGGCGATTCTATGTAAGCCAAATGTGACATTTACAATTGCATTTGTATTCATACTTTCATGAATTCACACTACAGAATTTTCATATATACTGCATACATATGCAATTCATATGAATTGGGAAGCTAAACGCAGTGCTCACCGTTAAAAAAACGGTATTTGTTCTGGTTTCATTAATGATTCACATAGTCACTTAGACACATTTTGTTGTGATTCGTGTTTACAACACAAAAGTAAAGTTCTCAGTTCAACTTATTTGCCTGTAGTTCATTGTCAACTTAAAAATTAAAATCAAAACAGTGCTTTCCAACTTTAAGTGTAAATCTATAAGATACTGTGTCCATCAGAATGTGGAAAATATTTCTGGTTAAGTGCTTTCAAACTATAATTTTTTTTAAATTATTGTCAACTTCTGTGTTCTTCTGATATTCAAACTCCGTGTATATATTTTATTCCCGAACGGGATTTGTCATATTTATGTTAATAAAACCATTTCTGAAAACACAGATTTTACTTTAAGATATGCGTTAAGATCATAATTAAACGAAAAACTAATTTTCATTTGTGTAGTTATGGATGTACTCCTGTCTAAGTCGAATCTTCCAAACGAAGGTGTCGTGAATGTTATTACCAAGCTTAGAAACTTCACCATTTGCAACAAAGGTCTTTTGCACAAAATAAAGACGATTATCTGTAAACAACTTGGTTATCCTATCGCAGCATCTGTGGAAGGCTCAATGTCACTATCATCTTTGATGCATCAATCGTTTATACCTGGAAATGTCAAATGTGATGCTCGAGTGAATGATTTATCCCAATGTGCTATCACTCAAAATAATGATTGCTCTCAATACTCGTACGTTACATGTAAGCATTCTCATTCAATTTTTTGAATGTATTAAAGCCTTGCAGGACACATTTGTATGACGTTAGAAAAAGTTTTGAGCGAAGAATGTAAGGAATGAATGTGTTACTTTTGTGTTCTCAACTTATATCTGTCTTTTGTTAAGCATCATGACTTACCTCTATCATCAAGACTTACGTCTGCCATCGTGGTGTCACTGTATTTTATGCTAACTTGGAGAATTTCACAATTCTTCTTTTACAAAAGTATCAAACAAACTATAGAATCACAAAATATAAACCATTGCTACTCTTAAATAATGAATAATTCAAACAGGATTGCTGTGAATACTGAGGATTAAATTATTTTTACTCTTGCTAGTTCATTTCGTGCTTTAAATGTCTATTGTCAATGCTCTGCACAATGATTGACGTTTACTCCTTAATGGATTTAAATCGCTACGGTATTGTTGTTATTTGACAAGATAAGTACGGTTTCTTGTCATAGCTGCTTGATTCCAGCTGGAATTAAACCTTATTTAATAAAAGCATAAAAAATCAGTCGTATTCCTCCAAAACTTCTTGTGCTCTTTCTCCCTTTCTTCAGAAAACAATTTTTAATTTTTCTATATTTGGTGAATGGAGAACAATATGGGATTGCATTATTGCTCTCTATCAAATCAAACCAATTTGAATATTGTAGTGCATTTAAACAAAATCCTTTTCTATTTAAGGTCACGTTTGTGATAATCCTCTATTAAAAAACGGAGAAAAATTCCCAGATTCTTGGTTTACTGCCTTCCCAAAGAGTCGTAGTGCTTCTAAAGCAAGAATATCCAGTGGCAGTTCATGGTGTTCTCCTGATGCAGATGGCAATCATTATCTTCAACTGAATTTCCCGAGTCTATATACAGTTAACGTTATTGCAACCTTTGGAGACAGTTCAAGTTCAAGCTTTATAACTGAATATCACTTGCTAACAACCATGGATAGTGTCAACTGGAAGTCTAAAAAATCCCAGGAGGTAGCGGTAGAATTTCACTCAAATTTTCATATTGTAAATTTAATAAGGAATGAACTCATAAATCAATTAAATTTTAAATTTGCTGTTTGTATCGATCTTTGTATAGAAGTTGTTTCTCTTGGTTATAGCATTCCTGCAAAGGACTCTTGAAATTCATTGTCTAGCTTAAATTTCAGCTATGTGGATATGAAGAGATGTTCATATGATGGATAAACTACTATCCTCTGGACTGCGCTAACTAAGCCAGCTTTTCTTATAGGTTGTTCTTTTAAAAAGCAAATCTTTTTGTTTTATTCAAGATTTATCAAGGAAACAAAAATGGTTACAATGATGTCGCTATGAAAAAGTTCTCTGGTGGCATTAAATCCAAGGGTTTACGAATCATTCCAGTGAAGTTCGTTGGTAAACCGTGTTTACGAATTGAAGTTTGTGGTGGAGGTAAGAAGTGAAAAAATGCAAGGTTTAGTTTTCTCTCTAAAGACTTAATTACTCAATATATAAACTTGTTTCCTCTGAGAAATAATTATATGCGTCTCAATCGACAAATCTGAACAAATAATTTGCATTAATGCTGTAGTGTTACTAACTTTCTCTGTTAAAATAGCTTTATTTAAAAGACAATTTCAACAGTTATTTAAACACATTTCTTTTATCATACAGACTTGCTCCCAGACAAACCAACACATCTTACTGCAGCCAAAATCTCATCAAGATACTTCAAGATATCATGGAAAGATCCCAGAAACACTGGTGTGAAACTTGGCACAAATCTCCCGAACTTTCTAACTAAAGTGCGATTAATAGTGCTGAAGGATACTGTTGTAATATTTGAGAAAACTTGGAAGGCGACTCTACTCAAACCTTACAAAGTGGAGAATCTTGTCCCTTATACAACGTATGTAGTAAATGTAACCGTTGGCAACTCTGAAGGCTTTGGTAGATCAACTACAGCTAGTTTTAGAACTGTTGAGGATGGTGAGTTAATGTTATTTTTAGTGCATTCATTACAGCTGTGATTACATCAAAGATAAATACGAAAGAAGCGACCTTTATCGTGGACGAATCTTGAAATCTTGGATATACTGTGTTTTAATTAAGTTAGCAATGATGGTGTACAGTGGTTATGACTTCTTTTTAAGTGTTTTTATAATTACAGTTTTACATAAAATTTTTAAAAGTTTTTTTTTTCTATTTTTTTTAGTTCCCGAAGGTCCACCTTTAAATATTAAATTTGTTGCCATCAGCAGCACATCGTTATCAGTCACGTGGGAGCCACCAGATGTAGACAAAAGAAACGGAAAGATAGTCAGTTACACTGTTTCTATGACACAATTGGAAAATGAAACGTGTTCAATGAACTATACCACCAAGGAACAGCGTTTGGACATAAATAATGTTAAACAAGAGACAAAATATTATGTTCGTGTTTTAGCTTCTACAACAGTGGGATCTGGAATTTACAGCAATGGTACATGGGTATTTACAAATGGATGTAAGTTGTCTATAGTTTATGTACACGTTTCATTAAGATGATAAATTTATTCAAGTTTATTTATTTAGTGGCACCTCAACTGTCCACCAAGCAGATTGGAAATACGTTGACTTATTTGTTGCAAAATCCAAATTTGGAATACCGGTAACTATGTATTTTACTAGAGCAAATTATTGTAAAAAAACTTATAGGAACTTAAAAGTATTTTTTGAGTTTTTCGGACTCATGGCTAAGTATGAGACAGTTGGTTTCATGTGACATCCAAGGTAGTCTAAATATCTCTCTGGGAAAAGGTTTGATGACTCGTCGCTTTTCTCTGGCAGTGCGGACACATGCATAACATATATTTTAACGATTAACAAAAGCAGAGGTTATATATGTACTTTCAAAAAAATATTTTTGCCTTCAATTTGCAGATATTTCTATGTAGTCGCGATGAAAAATGATACAGAAGATAGTCGATTGCCTTCTAACTTTAAAAACACAGACTTGGTGACTTATTTTAAGGCCATATCTTCCGCACAACCAATGCCGTATATTGCTGCTGTAGTTTCTCGCAGAGACTTTAAGCCTGATTTTACACTTGGTGATGGTGAAAACACAACACGGCGTTCCATTGGTGAAAATTATTATAATGGCCCGCTGAAGCTTGGCACTAACTACAAAATATTTCAGCGCATTTTCATTAATGATCAGGTGCGATATTTTTTATACGTTTTCATCAGCATTGCATGATGCAATTTTATTCAAATATAAATGTTCACTTCGTTTCAGGGTGATTATTATTCTACTGACTGGAGTCCAGTGGCAGCAATTGTCCAAAAGCAGGAGTCTTCAGGTTTGTGTTTGCTTTCAATAGCTTAAGGGAAGTGTATCGATGTCTAAAGTGTAATGATTCAAGATCTTTGCAAATTTCAGTATAGTGAAATGCCTGAAAATTTTAAACGATTAATACAGATTTTGTTTGATGATACAACCGATTTAATTCCAACAAATAACTGCCTTAGTGATTTTGTGTAAATTAGGTTTGCGTTCCAAACCTAATTTATACCATAAATATATCATGAATGGTTAACAGGTATGAATACATGGGGCGTGAGAGCGGTTACACTCTCAGCTTTCGAAAAATGATCGCTGAAAGACAAAATTTGTTGGTAATGTTATGATTTGTCATTCGTTTTATCTTGTAGACGGTGGAAACATTGGAGCTATTGCTGGTACAGTTGTAGCTGCTGTTTTGCTCATTATTCTTGTCATATTGGTCATTCTTTTTGTTAGGATCAATTCAAACTCTGCTACCGTGCAGTAAACTTCGTATTGAAGTCATTCGACTGCTACTAAAATTTCTCAAAAATTGGGGAAGTTCAATTTTTTCTCGAAATTATTAGACGTTTTCTGAAATTTAGCGTACTATAAAAAAATATAATTAAACATAAGATTTTATTTCCTTTTTAACTATAATAGTGAACGAGAGTGAATGTTTCTGAACAGTATTTGAAAGCAATTTAGAACATAACATCAACTTTTTAGACTAAGGATGTAGTCAATATTTGATATAGGATAATAGCTGTAATACATTTCATCTAAACACATTAAATAAGAAATAAATTAAAATTACAAATAAACTGTGGCGAAGCAAGCTCAGTAATTTTTTTCTTGGGGAAGAGACTTTTCAAACATTCAAATATTTTGGAATCAGTGAGGTATGTATGATTATGTGCGCACTGTCATCTCTTTAATTTGCCCGACATAGAAAACAGGGAGTTTTAGTGGATGGAGTTTACTCTGTTATCAACTATATTAGTCTTAGTAAAATGTTGCTGTTATTGTCTTTTCCTGTTTTCGCTTATTATCCCCATTATAATATTCATTATAAAATCATCCAAAATTATCGAATTAATTGAATTTTCTGATGATTTGATTGCAAGAGTGCTAGGAGCATTGTGTTTGTCTGTAGACTAGAGATCAACGAAAAAGAACAAATGGGTTTGAAGCAACGACACAAGACTTTACAAAACAAGAAAAATGCATATGATCGCCAAACACATCCTTCTCTCGTATAGTTTGTCGTTAACCCCTCTCTTTGTTTTGAACACTTGCCGGAACTTCCACCGAAAAACTGATCTCGGTAGTCGGCACCAAACTTCCGTAACATTAAATGCGTTTAAAATTTACATTTGCGTTTAAATATATGCTTGTATTACGGAAAATATCAATTTGTTACAAATACAGAAATACAGAATATCATTCAGAGACTCTAGACTCTACATATGAAAAACATAGCCAATCCTATCACGAGTGTCTCCGATTCATTAGTTTTCATTAGTTGGAACACACACCAACGATTATGATGTATGAGCTTTCACTTCCTAAGAATATGAGCAGACGACCATCAATTGAAACAGTTTCTTTTCGCCATGTAATATCAAGTAGTCTATTGATACCTTCAAATAATCACGTGTTATTTATAGTTGGGCTGCTTTTTTTGTCCACCTCCTGTTTACTTCATGTTTATTACGTTTGTTTTATCATTCATTTTTATACTATAGGCGGTGGAAATAATGGAGCTTTTACTGGTGAAGTTGTAGCTCCTGGTTGGTTTCAATTTTGTCGTATTGGCTTTTCGTTTGAATCAATCTAAACTCTTGTACTCGAACGTGCAGTAAAATGCGTATTGATGTTATTCGACAACTACTGACAACATTTAATGAGAGTGAATTCTTGACTTGCAATTCAGCCATGTTGGTAGTATGATAGAAAAGAATATTTTATCAGTGTTATTGTTGGCACCAGCCGACGTGGACGAGCAGCATTGTTTGGTAAATCTCAAGAGAATGGTTGCAAGTCAGGAATAGTTCTGAGTTTAAAATTAATATTGAATTAATTACTTCATCAAAGTAAACACAATGTCGCGACTGCTCACTTTTATGTCTCAATCTATAGGTTAGTTTAACCACCGTTTGCTTTGTTCATCAAAATTATTTAAGAATGATTGTAATTTGTATAGATGTTATAATGAGCTTAGCTTTTAGAAAGGAAAATCACAACTCAACCTCTTGCTACAATATGTTTACTCAATCAGTCCCATTGGTTATTACCAATGGGTATCACAATATTAGACTCCTGTGTAGGCACTGGATGTAAGATTTGGCATTGGGAAAGAGGTTTGTATTTTGGAATCATCAGAATATTCTAATCTACTATGAGAAAACTCAAGTACACGGTAGCTCTTACTAAGTGTCTGTTTAGTTAGCTAAAGTAGCTGATATAATAACTCAAATTTTCTACCTATCAAATCGTTTCATATGTATCGTACCATATCGTGCAAGATGTACAAATCATAAAGCGCAATTGCCAAACTGGTTTCAATTTTTGGCTTATGCTTTCATTCCAGTTATTTAAATATTGAGTTCACTGGTTAAATGATGTCATGCAATATGGCGGATCGTAATAATTTGGTTGTCTTGTGGTTACGGACGAAATTTTGTCATCAAAAAGGTATTGAATTCCTTTTCAATATTAATTGTCAGTTCTTAAATATTTCATTACATTTTTTTTCACTTTGTACTCTGTTTGCGTTAAGTTGACCTTTTGAAATCGACAATAATTAGTCACCATGTTTTGAGACGAAGCCGAATAACAAAGACTCAGCAGACGGCAAAATATTCTCCTTGCCTGTATTTGTGTGCTATTCGTATTCTTCCTTTTGTTTTTTTGCTTTTGCGGAATCAAATTAAATTGGAATTATACGTTGTACTTTCTCCAAATTACAATTATATGAATAAATTCAAAAACCAAGAATCACAGGCAATTTGATATGTAGATCAAAGAGTTTTTCGTATGATCTGTGGTTTTATATTTGATGTCTTTAAGAAGTGAATCTTAGAATTGAATTTCAGATATCAAAATTATGAGTCAACTTTATCTGATATAATCAATGTAAAAAGTTTTAATATATTTTTGTCTGGTAATTAGTGTCCTTTAAAAAAGTGATCTGATGTTGAAACTTAAGTCATTATGTGTTCAAGTTTTTGTGTAGAGTGATTTTTTGAATAGTTACAATGGTTGTATAGCTGTATATAAAAATTAAAGTCACAAGTAATCCAGTTCAGTGTCTTCATTCCATACTATTTACTTTTATAAATGTGTTAGGATAGTATTTTTAGCAACTGGTCTTTTAATACTTCTTTGTTATGCTTTTACACCATTTGCTCATCATTAAAGAAGATTGAACTTTTAATTACAGGCTTCGACATACCTGCAATAAAACAATAAAATATTCATTATCTTTATAGAAAAATCAGAAACACATGTCTACAATCAATAGGTATCTATAAGAGAAAAGTCAGAATCATTCGGATAAAAAGAAATTTGTATAAACATATGTAAATCTCTGCTTTTGCTAATTTGTTGCAAATAAACCACGACATTTCCCTTTCATACAAAGCTCATATGTATATGTTTATTCAGTAGCGTAGCTAGGTCGAATTTACTCTCGCTATGCAAATATTTTTCGCATTTAATAAATACGACGAGTTTTTTTACAATAAATGTGTTTCAACATCTCATGATGGCATCCTCAGTATAATAAGAATATTATGTATATGCATGATAATTTTATATAAGAGTAATGTAATGCAGTTATACAATTATCATTAGATTGTAAATATTACAATGAAATACTGGTTGGAACTAATTTATGAGTGTATTTACAGGCTGAATATAGTGTTAAAACGAAAAACGTGAACGTTGAGATTAGGATTAGTTTTTTTAATGTGAAATGCTTCTTTTAAAAAAACTCGTCGTATTTATTAAATGGGCAATATAAAAAGTGTTTTTACGCAGTTGCGGCAAATATTTTGTGTTTACTGACCGTAAGAACAATGGATTTCTAAAGAATGTCTTTATGATGAAATGATTTGTTACATTTATTCGTAATGTATTATGCGTAATGTATTATTAAGTAATCTATTGATATCTTTAGGTAACCATGTATTGTTTATAGTTGGGTTACTTTTTTTGTTCACCACTTGTATACTTAATGTTTTATGTTCTTCTTCGTCATTCATTTTATCTTATAGACGGTGAAAATGCTGGAGCTACTATTGGTGCAATGTTGGATGGTGTTTTTTTGGTTATTATTCTTTTTGTTAGGATCAATTCAAACTGCCACACGAGCGTGCAGTGAAATGCGTATTGGACTTATACGTCGACTACTGACAACATTTGACGAGAGTGAATAGTTCTGAATTCAAATTTGAATTTAGTTTAATCATAAGCTCAAAGCAAAAATTCTACGGCGGTTGCTCGCTTTCAATAGGTTGGTGAAATGACCGTTTGGTTTGTTCATAAAACTTATTTCAGGTAAACTTCCTTTTCATCAAAAACGAAAGACATGGGAATTTATACAGTTTAAGCTTCAAAGAATGAGTTGGGAGTGTTGAAAAAGCAGGCTTAGCCCCCAATGTTGAAAAATATAAAAATAAATAGATTCCGAACAAAATAGCCATCTTGAAATACTATATTTGAATTTAAACATGAAACGTAAGATATAAAATAAGGCCAATGAAGTCTTTCAAATAAAGACAGCAATAAACACTCGTTTTTTTGTCTGTTGTTGTAATTCAAATATTGAATTTCAAGATGACTTTTTTTATGGAATTTTTTTTGTATATTGATAGAATTCAGTATGCTGAATTATTTTGAATGAAGTCCTATTTTTTTAATTTATATCGATGTCCTTTGTTTGGATACGAATGGATTTTTCATCAAACATATTCAGTCAGGGAAATGTGTTTATGACAGAGGTTTATATCGTACTTCTATTCTGAGGTTTACAGAGAATTTTTTTCACTCGGGAGCTCGATTTAAATTTCTATAATCTGGTTCAATCTTGAATCTAGACTTTTTTGGCTGTCTTGAAAAAGACGAAGACAAGCATAAATTATTGCGGATTTATCCAACCTTTGTTAGACCATGCAGAGCCATCAATGCCATAACCCAAACATTTTGGGGTGGTCTACTCTATTCACGCTATAATAAATGTATAGCAGCTTCAGGAGATCGATACTACGTGGAACTGGCCAATTGTAATGACGAAGAAGATGAACGATTTAATTTAGGCAAGTTAGAATTTTTATCTAGTTAGCATGTACATAATTAAACTATGATCAAAGCCACTGCAAGGCTTTAGCTATAGATATGGCGCCAGTGAGGTCAGTGCTACCAGAAACTTCATTTTATAAAATTCAACTTTTATTTAACAGCAATTAAAAGATAAGCTTGTATAGACTTGAATTTACGTATATTTGTGTGTCTTTAATAGGCTCGGTAACATGTGCTGGAAAAAATATATCGGACGTTAGTTGTTCTTATAATCAATATATGGTGATAAAAGTTGCGGAATATTGTGGATTAAGAAAAGGAAGCATTTGTGGTTCAAGTTTTGATTACAATTGCAGTGTCGATGTAACATGTGACCTTAAAAATTACCGTGATGGTGAAAGAAATTGTAATATAACTGTTGATGATAATCATTTCCCTTCAAATATTTGTCCTGGTTTGGATAAATATCTTTACTTTGAATATCAATGTAACGACACAAGTATGCCACACAGAGAAATTTGCAATCGTAAGTGTTATATAGGCAGATTTTTTTGCTTATGATTCACGTGCCTCGGCTCATGTGACATTTAAACTTATGTTCTTAATATTTCAATTAAATTTAAATGTCTGCTCAATTTTGCGTTGTTAGTTTGTTAATACAAATTTTGTTCATAGACATACATCTCTTATTGCACTCTTTTTGATTTATTTAATCTATTTCATTTTAAAAATATTAGTATCATCTTAAGTAAGCCAAAATGGCATTTAAAATTGGATTTATATTTTTATATTCATTAATTCTTACTACAGAATTTTTCATAAATACAGCATGCACATACAAAGATATAATTTTTAACATAAAAAGCCAAACGCAGAACTCACCTGTAATAAATTGTATTTGTTTTGCTTTCATTAATGATTCACATAATCACTTGGACACAATTTTTTATGATTCGTGTTTACAACCCAAAGGTAGAGTTGAACTTATCTGCATGTACTCAATGTAATGTGTCCATTATTGATATAGAAATTGAAATCAAAATAATGCTTATCAAATTAAATATATTTCTCTAAAATATAGTTGACAGGAAATTGTAAAACATTTCTGATTTAGTGTTTTGTAGTACATTATATTAAATTTATATAATTTGCATTAAAAAACAGGGACTAAGAATACTGTGTTCATATTGAGAAATACACTAATTTTCATTTTATTTAAAAATAATTAATTTCTATTTGTGTAGTTCATGATGTACGCCTGTCTCCGAACAAAGGTATCGTAGATGTTATTACCAAGTTTAGAAACTTAACGATCTGCAAAAATGGAATTTTGCATAAAGAAAAGACAATTGTCTGTAAGCACTTTGGTTATACTACCGCAACATCTGTGGAAGGCTCGATGCCACTATCATCTTTGATGTATCCATCATTTAAACCTGGAAATATAAATTGCAAAGTTCAAGTGAATGATTTATCTCAATGCACCATCACTCAAAATAATGGTTGTTCTTAATACTCGTACATAACATGTAAGCAATCTTATTCATTCTTTTAAACATTTTAAGACATTTTAGGACACATAAATATAATGATGAAAAAACAGTAGAACTAAATGATTTTAAACAACAACATATTACCTTTATCTTTAAAAACGACTTATATCTATCATCATGACTTATCTTTATCATCATGAATTACTTCTATGATCATAACTCCGATACCGAGCCTAATCCGGAAGTAGTCGATACTGCGTGGTATCGAAAAAGGACTTCGATTACTTTTAAAATTTCATTATTATGTAAGTTTGTCTTCCTTTTCATTATTAATTTTCACAAACATTTTGTTTTTTTTCTGTTTTATTATTTTAATATTTTATTCACTTTTACTTATTAATACACTTCGAGATCTCGCCTTCAGAATAATAACATGTAACCATTTCGTCGTATTGTTAAAGTATATAAGGCCGCACTTTAGCAATTCTATTATAAGATTTTTATCAAGCCACTCAGTTGTTTATTTTTGAAATTGGAGAAAGTAATCGCTTTAGTAATCGATACCTCGATACTTTTAAGAAAAAGTAATCGGTATCGTATCAAATCGATAATAGAGGTATCGCCCATCACCAGTAAAATCCTGTTGGTGTTGATGTTGACTTACGTTTTGACAACGTTGACTGTAAAGATGACTACCGCTAAGGTTGTCGAAACGTAAGTTAAATTCAACACCAACAGTCCTTCTCAGGACTCTACTAACGTAGACAATTTACATGTGCAAACATGTAGACTGTCCAGGTTGTTAGGAAACCTGATGAGAGTAAAAAATTCTGGTTAGGATTTAAAAACAATTTTTAACATAACATAAAATTCTTAGGTTTAGCAGTGACGTAGCGAGCCACCAAGTTTGGTCGTTCTATGTAAATTTTTGTGTTCACTTACTGTAAAACAACAGATTTCTAAAGAAAGGAATAATGTTAATGATGAAGAATTTACATAGGACGACCAAATTTGAGGGCTGACTACGAATTTTGTCAATATTTTAAATAGTACAACATCAGTAATATTTTATATTTGAATATATTAAATTGAGTACTAAGAACAAAAGTAATAAACAAAAAGCAAATCAAAATTAAACCCGAGTTCGAAACAAACAATCCATGGCGGCCGTTGCTTCAAATTTCCCGCCTCTGAACGATAGTGTAAAAAATAAAACACTTCAAAGGACATTTCACAACAAAAATCCAAATTTTTAAATAAAAGGGAGATTTGATAACTACATGTCAGTATTTTCCGTCTAAAGATGATATTTGATGACTTAAGGGGGAAATACATGCTGTAACATATTCACACAGATTTCTTTTTACCTCACAAGGAACTTTTGTCTTTACCAACACTTCAATATACAAGTATTCCAGTTTACATCACAGTTTGGGAAATCCAGGATTATGGCAACCACAATTAAGCGAATCATAGTTGGATAAAACGGACCTTCAAACACTCGAAGATGTAAACGAGCATTACTCAAGCTTTGCTTCTTTTTCATGATTTGAATATTCGTTCTAAAGTGTCGTATGAAATGTTCGACTACCAAATTACCCGTCAAAAACCAATCCATTCACGCTGACTTTATTTGTCTACCCGTTGCTCTGTTTTATAGTTAACCATTTATTTTTGGAAGTCGTAAAGAAAACACAAATTTCTTTAAAAAACGTTATTTCGTTTCTCCCGTAATGGTTAGTTTTTAGATTTTATTTATTGGGTTCGCATTGCTCTAGATAAAGACACTTTGAATTTTCGAGAAATACTTGCTGTAATAAGTTTCCTGTTTATCTTTAGAAAATATCAAATATTTGACCAATGTAAACAACTGAATGCAACAGGTTTGTTAAACAGGTCTATTGGATTCAGTCGTGACAAAATGACATCGTTATCATAAAATTCATTTTTTTGCTGTCTAGTTTATGCAGAGTAAAAATGTTGATGTAGAAAGCATGAAGTGGACGGGCTGACATAAATAGTAGATTTTTGTTCGTATTCGTATTTTGTTTGCATTCTATCGAGTGATATCACTCTATATGGATTATTTTAGGACTCAAGAATCTATATCATGACAGATTATTAAAACCTGATAATAAAATGTACAACGAGTGAAATAGTAATAAATGTTAATAATTAATAATACATATATGCTTATAACTTTTTAGGGACATCAATTAAAGTTGGATGATACGCGTAATCAACTACGCGTCACATAAAATTATGGCGCCCACCCGAAAAATAATCACGGTTTGGCAGAAATTTTAACTGAAGTGGAAGGTTTAAAAAGAACTGCTGAAGTCATATGAGCTGTCATTGTTGTGTGCAGGTCATGTATATGGAGTGCGCGTTCATTTAACGTCTCACATAATCGCACGGATATTGGAGCTCTCCTTTCTTCATGTACGTAGGAGGGGAGGGTGGGAACTGTGCAACAAACTTTAATCCTTATACTTTGATAGTCAATTTTAATTGAAACTGACGTATTCTTAATTCGATCTATGTTATTATGATGGAATTTATTTTTTATTTCAGTGGTGTTTATATTTGATATCTCTAATCTTGCTGATCACGTCAATCTGTCCAAATGGTTTATGTATTTCTGTGCATATTTCTGTGTGTGTTTCTGTGCATATTTGCGTCTCTGGATCAGAGGTAAGTAATCTCGTTTATAGCAAAAGTATAAGCAACAATTTTTCTGCATGTTAGCAAGAATATGACTCTTTTCAATCACACGATTTTCCAAAATGTTGTACATAAAGATTGAAATTGTTAGTCTACGTATGTGAACTACATACAATCTTTCATCAATGAGATCTCAATTCAGCAACCCGTTTTTCAAACTTTGTCAATTCGTTCAGATGCAACAAAATACATTGAAATATCGCAAGCTTAACTTCCGGTAAAACAGCGCACTTTGATTGGTTCAGAAACATTTTACCCTGTTCTTAACTTTTTCATAATTTGAATAGTAGTATGTATATTTTCAAATAAACGTAAACAAACTTCATGAAGCAAACAGCAAAACTCAAAAAAAAAACAAAACAAAAACCATGTACGAATGTTAGTCGAAGAAAGAACACTTGTAAAGTGAGTTTTATTATCTGGACGACACAATTTCAAACGATTTATTTTTTATGATGGTAGAGAGAGTCGTGCTGCAGCGTAAATCAAACTTAGGTGGTAAATTTGATAGTCAAAAACTTAAAATACGCTTTATATGGGAACAATATAATTTTTCGTCATTGAGCAATTAAAGTCATTAACCTGTTTTGCCGTGTTTGCCCACTTTAGATGCGTTATTTGTGCTTCGTTGCTTCGTATAAACAAAGGAATTTCTTTAAAATATCAAAAACTTTATCTTCTATAACATTGCTTCGTCAACCAATCCACGGCATCCAAATTTCCTAACACATTTAAATTATTATTGTTGATTCCTAAAGGATAGGAATTGACGCAAAACAAATTCTATAAAATGTTG